CAAACATTTTAATGGTGCTATTTTAATAAAATAAATATGTTTTTGACGAATACAACGATTGTAAAAGGTGGAACTTTGAAATTTATTCCCTAGCGACATATTCGTTAACCCAGCTACCTAACCTACTAATTAATCATATTTAACGTAGTATATGTTTTTGTTTCATTTGTTGGTCTTGTCAGTACAAGTACCTCTAAAATGTGTAACATAATATTGTACATGTATATTGCGATTTCGATTTCGTGTACTTTTGGTGTAGTTCAAATTTAATAGGGTGTCACAAATACGCACGACAGATGTTTAATCCTTATGAACTAATAGTAATATAACTTACCACCTCACAGTGTATTATTTATTTAGAACTATTGATCCGTTCACGCTCTCAAGTAGGTGGCTATATTGTAGCTATTCAAAGCAAATATATACGAAGCTTTGATTTTCATATCATTTGTATGTAACCGAAACTATATCCTTTTTCCAAAATGGTGAAACACAGGTGTCTTTCAAATGAACCATGCAAATTACACAAATAAGCACTCTGAAACCTATATTGCAACCGTCACCACCACCATAATGGTGCTCGTCAGATCCAAAATCCAATATAACCATATTATTACCTAAACGCTATATCACATTGCTCGTTAACCGTATTTTCCGTGTACGATCAAACACACTATGTATATTACATCATTTTGCTCTTGTTTTCATATAGGTATTTCGTTTTTTACAATCTAATTTTATTGGCATTCGAGTATTTTGATAAAATCTGTTTATATTATATAATATTATAACACAAACAAATTTTTTTTTTATTTTATCCGTAAACATCAATTACAAATGGATGTTATGTTCTTGACATACGTAATACGATTCTCTTAGCACATCATTTTAATATTGCATTTAAACAAAATATACTTTTCTCTTTATCATTTACAGATATTAATTTATTCTAAAAGTAGTTTTATAAAAAATAATTAATAAAAATTGGTAAATAAAAAAAATTAAATATGTTATGTAGTCCATAAAATTCTTTTTTAACCAAAAGTGGAAAAATTCAATATATAATTTATAATGCAATGAAAACTGAATAATGTGGACCCTAAATAAAACGGATAACTATCCATCATGAAATTTTTCTATGGTCCCAGTATGTTCCTATAGATTTATATAGACGTTGAATCTCAATAAAACGGAACCTTCTTAATGTGGAACCGGAACGGTTAGTTCCGATGCAAATAAAAACCTTGCATAAGCCGGATATATGACTCGCGTCATGTTACGTTGATATGAATATGTAGGTGCATTGTAAAACTATAATCAAGATAAAACTGTTCTACATAATATATTAGTTAGGTAATTTGTATTTTTTGGATATCGTATCTGCGATACAAACTTATCCAGTATGTATAATGTATAACTGTGAAACAGTTATGCACCAACAGTCTTACACTAAACAATTTGCTTTTACACACTAAGTGATGTCCATTAAAATACATATAATATTGGAAAAATAGCAACAACAGTAATAAAACATAAAACCTACGTCTCTACAATGATTTTTGGAAAAACTAAAATGTTTGGATTTAATTTTCAACTTTCCTACTTATGTAATATGTATAATTTGTTAATAATTGTATAAGAAAATAAGTCTATTACTAATTTAAAATAATATATATAAAATAAATTAATAAATTAAATTTATAATTATTCTCTAACTCAAAAAATTAAAAATAATAAATGTTGTAAACTAATTTTTTAATGTAAAAAACTGATACGAATTAATAACTCAAAATTTTCGCATTTTATTCTATAGATCAAAAAACTGCTTAAAATGGAATTTTTGATTAGTTCCGTGCTTTTTTTATTATTTCGCATTAGACAGTTTTTACTGTATAATGTTTAAAATACATAGATAATGAATTACATATAGTCATAACCAATGTTTAAGACATTGCAAAAAATATTCATAGTTTTTTATAAACATATTTATTCCAACCAATAAACAAGCTGAAAGTTTAAATAATAACAATACCAAATAGTATATTGTGTGAAAATTGAGAGGTGGAAGCATCTATCTTATGTATTTGAATATTAGACTAAACGTATTCGGATACGCTTGTGTGTATTAATCTGATAAGTTAGTAAATTTTTTGACTGCTGTAGTAACCAAAGTGATTAATAATTTTTTATCCACTAGAGTAACAAGAGCAACATCTCAGTAGACATTGAAAATACAACTTTTGGTGTAGGCATGATAACAAATAATATATATTATTAATTATGCTACTATTTAAATTTTAATTGTATTTTTAATGCAACTAAAATGTTTACAATACCTTACCTAGTATACATTCAGATATGTTATTATGTATATAAATTATACATTAATTTCAACAAATTAAATATAAAACTCCACAAAAATGATAAAAATACGAACCATACAACATTAAAAATCATATTATTTAAAAAATACATTAATATATATATATATATATATATGTTTGATTAAATTTCAATTTTTAATCAAAACTTTAAATCGATATTTTGTATTCCAAACCTTGAATTTTAAACTTAATACTATATATCATATACATCATATGCGTTTTCTTTAAACTATCAAGTAATAATTTACGGTGGATTAGTTGGTACTTGAAAACCTGTCATAAAAAATATCACATCAATCAAATGACACTCCTCTTATTGCCATTAACCTTATTTATACATTATGGCTAATATTTTTTTATTTTTTTTTTACTAATATTCATAGTTATTTTGAACCCACCTGATTTTCTTAAACATCATTGTTATTATTGAAGAAATATAATTGAAACTATAATTCTGCTGACTATATAAAAAATTTTATTAATTTTATTAAGCTATATTTTTTATGCATACATTTATATTTTAGATATTGAGCGAAGTAAAAAATACATTGGTTTTACAATTACGGAAGTTCTTTTTAAAATTTTGAATTTGAAAACATTTTTTAAGTTTTGTAATAGAAAAAATTTAATTGTTTATTATTAATTTTAAAAGTGGTAAATGTATACAAATTGGATTTGATTGATAATTAGATAAGTCAAAAATAAAACATTTACGGTCATTTTCCAAATTTTTTTTTAACATCCTCTATCGCTAATTATCAAAAACAGTTTAAATATAGGTGTAATAAAGTAGCTTTAGAAACATAGTTTTATAGATCTACAGTGTCTGCTAAAAATTTTTTTTTAATCGTTAGATATAATATGGTTTATCATCGAATTAAAATTTAATATATCCATTACTATAACCAGATACTTAGAGATGAAGTGCACAAGACATCTATTACATGGTAAATTATTTTTAGGTTATTTTTATTGAAATTAAATTAATATTCTTGGTTTTGCTTATTTTATTGTAATAATTTATTCACCATTAAAAATAAATGCATTTTCGTTAAGCTTTTTATTTTAAGTCCTATTCCAAAATTTAAGCTATAATAATTGTTATAACTTATTTAAAAATTATAGTTAAAATAAATTCTATAAAAAAAACACAAAATAATATTTTTATTTTAAAATATTGTTAAAAATAAAAATAATAATTCCAAATCATTAAATAAAGTGATGAAATATTGTTCAAACTTCACTAAAATAGTAGCACTACTAGGTACTAGTATGAAATACAGAAATACAAGTTAATGAGTATTGAGTTTTACATACAATTTAAATTATTGCAATAATATATAATTAAATAAATTTTGTACCACTGTAGCGATCACGTGTCATAATTTTCTCCCTGAATATTTTTATGGCCAAGTCTATTATTGGTAAAACAAAATATATTTCTAAAACTAATGGTTTGGCAGTGTATATAATTAGATAAATCGATATTGGTATAACTAAAAGTTTCCAAATGAAACAATAATTGATCAACTCTTTGTTTTGATATAGTATTTTTATTATGGATGCATAATATCGTAATACTATAAATAGAATAAAATCAATTAAATTAAAATATTTAGGCTAAATAAAATTTAATAATTTATGTATTAAGAATAATATATTAAAATTAAAAGTAAGTATTCTAGGTTATGATGTCAACTATTTCTATATCATACCAAATGGATTTGTTATTTGGTTTACAGTGTGCACGATTAAAGAAAAAAATACGTAAAAGTCATATTATACAGCCGAAACTTAATCATGATAAATCACTTCTGTTGATATTTAAATATTTTGGAGAACAAATACATACACCAAACTCTATATAATTATTCACGTGCATAATTTATACAATTGACGTCATACACATAAAATATTCAATTATACATATTCCCCTATAAACATTAAGATTGTACACATATAATATACTTAAAAGGACCTACACCAATGGATTTATATTATTTAATAAGACTTTTTCTTAATCTTGGGATATCACAATATCAATCGAATTGATAATAAATTCATGACTTTATAACTTGATTAAGTGTTATCAATACATACTCACTTTGTAATTATTAGGTCACAATCTTAATCTTAATTATTAAATGTATCAATTACTCAGTTGTTATAAATATCGTGAATTGCTTTTGTTTTAATATTAATAAATGAGTAAAATTAAATTACGTACATTTTTATGAGCGATAACACCATAGTTTTTATGGTTCGAAGTGTGATATATTTTTAGATAATAGTGTTATTATACGGAATTAAAATATAAATACAATCGAAAAAAAAATTTCCGAGACGTTGAGAGCTTTCAGCATTGCCTATTAGAATTCAACACAACTATCTGGCTGATTCATAAATTCTAAACATTATGTCATAAAAATAACTGTATTGAGTCGAAAAAAAGTAACAATTTTAAAACCATCTAAATATATGATAATAATAGTAATAATATATACTCAGCTAGTTAAATTTATGAATGATTATTTCATATAATTGTTTGATTTAGGTGCTGAAATTGTTTGAATAAAAATACCACTGCTATCTACTGATAGTAAAACTTAGACTTACCCCTCCAGTTATACTATGACCGATTCCCGAAGCACTAGCCAATTCAACCATTGGACAGCTTGGACGGTGTTCTTCTTCGTGAAATTTCGGTTGGTATGGTTCAAGCATACGAATTTTGCCCCATCGATTGAAGAACAATGCGATAGCCGCCACCCATAGTATCATCACACATATGACAATGAACGCCTCTTCGGTCCGTATAACAATTGGACCTAGAACATGATTGTTTCCTGACTGTCATTACTCGTTGTTATTTATTACCATCTGCTTATGTATACTAAACGAAATTAGACTGTTGAAAAACCGTTTCATTCAATTTATTTATTTAAATTTCAATGTTTAACATTAAATATAATATTTTTATTTTAAATTTTACATGGATATATATTATTCATAATGAATAACATAACATACGCCAAGTGGAAATTAGATCTATTATAAAATATATTTTATTATAAATAGAAAAAATTATGATTAAACCCTTATTGTAAATAATAATTTATATATTAGTAATTAATAAGTAAAAGCATTAAGATTCCTTGTATAAATTCGTTAATTTTACCACATAGTAAACTAACTAAGTATTTATTTTATTATCCAAAATCCAGCTATTCTATTCAACAAAAAAATATAAGTAAATATTTTATTTTTGATACTTTTCTAATTTTTAGTACCAATAGATAAATTATACATTATATATGTATATTTTTATTAAAATAAATGTGTAATAATAAAATATTTGGCAAAACTATATCTATAATTGTATTCAAATTATGACTTTTAGTTTTCATATTTAAATATCTTATTGGAAAACAGATTAACGTCTGCCATTAAATATTTGAAAATGTATAATGTAAACGTCATGTTTTTGTTAATAATAAAAATAACATTATGACATTCAATATTTTTATTACATTATTTTTAGAATAACCTTCTTTAAAATCTATAAGATCTACCGGATTCCAAACTTAAAGCCTAATTCTTAGTTTTTAATTTTTATCAATTAAACTTGAATAAATATTAGAATTCATTCATATTGTTATTATTATTAATTAATAAATAATATATTTATATAGCATTGTAATGTTTATTAACTAGAATTAATTTATTTCTAAAAACATTATTACTACTGTATTTTTGTAATATTGTTATTCAATCATTAAAACTATTATATAGATAATTGATAATTAAATCAAAGATATTAGACACGTGCATTTTATTTTGTTCTAATGCTATAGATTAATATTATTTCAAACATATATTATTCGTTCATATTATATAGTTTAAAACAATAACACAAGTATCGAATTCTTAAATTAGTGGTATGCGTTTTTTATATGCTAGGTTTTTATTATTATTTATATGATACAGTTAGATAATACGTCGATACTATTGAAAAAATGGACACAATATATACAATCGTGATATATTTCTTTACAAAGATAGCTTAAAAATGTTTATTTATTTTTATTAGTCAGTATGCATGATGCAATGAATTCAATGATAAATGTTTTATATATTATTTCAGTGTCAAATATTAGAATAATCTATTTAAGATGTTGAGTGTTGTCAAGGAAACTATTGTCTTCATATTATGATATATTTTATCTTAGTGAAAGTTATTCTAAAAATGTATACTACTCCATTTATTGTTTGTAAAGTGGGCTGAAAATAAATTGTATACATTGGCTTAAACATTGACGCAAATAACTAAATTTTTTTACAATAACTCATGTTGAAACTTAAATTTAAAAAATATAATTTTATTTGTATGATAAAAAATAGAGTGATTATCTGTTATATTATAGGCTTTATGCAATTTCTAGTGTAACGCATGGTACTTTTAGACTTTAAAATTCATTCGAAACCTCATTCAAGTAAAATTGTTATAATTTACATAACATTTAAAATAATAATATTAATTTTATTGTACTAAATTTGTAATTTTATTTTATTATAATTTAATTTTTGTTGCACCCAAGCAATGGATACTATATATCCAGATTGGTCTTTTAAAAAGTTTATAGATTAGTATTTTGTTGAGTACTGAGTAGTCTTATTTTTTTGGATGAATAAAGGTTGTAAGATATAAAGACGGTTATTTAGTATGATAATTTTGCTTTTGATGTGTGGTGCCCAAGTGAGTTCGACGGTCGATGTAAATTCTGAGATACCGCAAACTTTGGCATTAGGTAATATTTGGTTATTAATGTAAAGTGTCGGACATATGTCATGTCGAAGAGTGTACATACAATGAGTGAACTTGCTCTCATTCATTTACCTATATACTCCCCATTCCTTATACCATGTTTTATATTTAGGGTAAAATTCAAATATTTATTTATACAATTTCATGTCTTACTAAATTATGATAAGTAACTTTATATTAGCTAGTACGTTAAAATTTATCAGAAACCTCTATTGAACTCGGTTATTATTTTTTTTTGTAAGTATAATTGTTTTTAGATCGATTTTGTAACAAAGTACAAATATTAAATATTTTGGCTCGTAATTAAAGAGTAAAATTTATAAATATAACGGGATTTAAAGTTTTTTATTGTTATTATTGTCTTGCTTCATAAGTTAAATATTAAAATATTTTAGATAAACACATAACTTGTAACTATAACTAAATTAAATAATAAATATTTATCGATTCTAACCACAAATTATTCTCAACAAATATATGTATTGAAAAAGCAAATTAAAAATAATAAAGTATATCAAGTATTAATTTTGATTAAAAGTCTACAACCAACATAAACTAATTAGATGAAAAGTAATCAATATTTAAAATATAATTTGAAAATTACATAATTATAGGAATTATCTGTTTCATAATATATTTAACTACTGTTCAGTTTCAATGTTTTTAGTTTAATCATTATAACAACTTAAAAATGACTAGGTACTATTTTAAGGGTAATTTTTAGTAAAATGTCTACAAATCACCATTTATGTGTAACACATGAATCAATGGCAGATTTTAACGTAGGTAACCGGCACTACATACGATTGAACGGAAACAAGAATATGAAAAAAAAACGCCGAATAAAAGCACTATAAAATAACAAACAAATACTGCATTGTATATTATGGGAATACATTTATTAGAGTATACATTTTAAACGTAATTATGTATTTGTATCTAGTGCATGCACTAAAGTATTACTCAGTATTTATTCTCATACTCTAACTGTATACATAAAGTATTTAATTTGTATTTATTTACCTTATTATTATTATTGTAATAAAACCAGAATATATTATATTGAATTTATGCATTTTAGATTTATTAGTATTTAAAACATATCTATACATATATGACATATTATGTGAATATTTTAATTATAAACGATTAGATTTAATAAGTATATCATACAATTAAAATTAAATATTGATAATATAATTTAATGTTGTGAAAAATATATCTTAAAATGTAAATATATTATAGAAAATATCGAAACTTATTTTACTAACCATCAAATGCCTGTTTTCCGACTTCATCTTAATTTAAAAATATTAAATTTAAACTTAATAAATATATTTTTAAGGTATTTTTTTTTTATGATTGAGATTAATTACTTGTGTTAGTAAAAAGTTTCACAGTTTGTAATGTTGATGTCAAATATTTATAAAGTATCTCGGATAGTTAATCTAAATTAAATTTTAAAAGGATTTTTTACAGATTATTTTTATACATAATACAGTACCTTATCATGAAAATGATCACTGAAAATGGATGTTTATTACTTCAATATAACTATAAATTCTGTAATCTATATTAATTACTTAAATTATTACAAATAATAATGCACTTATGTGCTAGATTGGATAAAATCCAACTCGTAATACAATTAATTGATACTACCAACAAAAAACTTTTAATTAAATAATATTCACTTTTATCAATTGTTATTTTAGTTGAAAAAACTAGCGTTTTATTTCATAAGCTAATTAATTAAAGTATTATATTAAAAATGCAAATTAAATTATAAAAAATAGTTGGACATAGATCATAATATTATTAATACAAGTAAATAATAGTTCAAGATTTATCATTTCAGTTTTTATGTAGATAGATAAATGTTAGTATAGAATTAGGTACTAAATTATATCCATTTGATTAAATTTTAGCAATACGTGTAAACTATACAATACGAGTTTATTTTTTAGTAAAGATTTGTTGTGAATTATTAATTATATTATATTAATTTTATTGGAACAAACTTTAATGTAAACTTATTACAATACATTTGTTTAGCTGAATTTTATTTGAACTATTAAAATAAGAAAAAAAAGTAATAAATTAACTTAAATTATAAACAAAATTCATTTCAAAAAATGTGTTCTTGATATCCCTGGTAAAGCGAAAATAAGAATACAATTTACTTATACAAGGATCATGTTTCAATGATTGTATGTATAAAAATATTTATCTGATAAAATAGATGTTTAAAATTGAATGCATGGTAAGAATATTTATTTTTTTCTTCATAATTTTAAATAAATAAAACTTTAACAAAATTCAAATATTTTTAAAAGATACAAATAAAGAAAATTAAAAGACCGATAAATGATCTACAAAAAAATATGATTAATTATAATTCAATAGGTATTCGTACACTTAAGAATTAATATTTTATTTTAAATTTAACAAATATCGAATTGTGTTTATATTTTATTGATTATATACCAGTTAAATGTGTATTTTTTTTCCAAAAAAAAAAACTGTCTAAATAGGTATTATAATTATTGATTCTTAATAAAAATAATAAATTGAAAATTAGGACATTTTTTGTTATATTTTCATGCGTCGTAAGATTTTCTCGACATTTTGATTTATACATTGTGGCGTAAGAACGTCAATCACTGAGCAGCGCATTTTTTAAGTTTCCTCCAAATATAGGAATACATTTCTTATCGATATAATCAACGTTGTACTATAAAAGATAATCCTATTTCTTGCTGACGAAATTGAAAACAATAATGGAATATCGTAGTACAAATAAAAATCAATAGTTCAAATTAAACAAAGTAGTCTTGTCCTCCCATCATATTATAATGATAATATGCTGAATATTTTCTTGTTTCATTATATACGCTGCGTCATCGTCTTTGGTATACTGTTACGCATCAATAGAGAGCAAAAGAACGTTGTTTATAATATAATTATTATAGTATGCAAATGTTTCAATGCTAGAAGCCGTACAATAATAATTGCTATGGTTAAGATTCGATTCAATAAAAATAAATCAATTGGCAATCATAATACGCATAGTTATTTATTATTTCAAATTTTATGTTAACTTTATGATTACAACTATAATTGCGAATCGTTAAAATTAACTTGAATAACATGTGAACAAATGTACATTTTTCTTTTTTACCTTATAGGATTATAAAATATTATTTATGGCAGAAAATCGTGATACTTTTTAACGAGACGTGCTTAAGAACCCAACAAAAAGAACTCAGTCACGGAAAAACTTTACATATATATATCATATGTTATTAACCAAACTACAGTTATAGTGTATCATAAAAAATATAACTATAATTTTATTCAACTTTAAGAGCACATGAGGAACGTGCACATTAAGTACTCACCTCCAGTTCCCGTGGGTATCATTTCAGACGGCATAGTGGACGTCTCTTCGGTCTCTTCGATGCCCAACACCTGGTTGGACGTAGGTGAATCCAACCACGAAGTTCCATCGTCTGGATATGGCGTATCACCGAAGTTCAGTTCCGTGTAATTGCCATTTTCCACCATTTTCTGTTTAAATCATTCCCCTAAAACAAAAAAATTTGTTTGTGATAAACAAAAACACATATAAATATGTATATCGTAGAGGAAAAATAATAGAATAATAAAGACGAATGACTTATAAATATGAATCATCGTTCAATTTTTAAATAATATTATTAGTAAAGACTTAGAGCTGAAATGTTTATATCTAAAATTTTCCTCGTTATATCATAAAGATTAAACAATAATATTGTTTTCGTGTTTAGTAGTTACAATCCAGAACAAAAGTGATGATTTACATTAAATTTTGTGCTATGTAGTGAAAAATTATCTCTTCATGAGGAAAATTATGTTTTTTCTTTGTGTGTGTAATAATTTTACCAGTCGTTTATTTTTGTAACAGTAAACTATTCAGTTCTGTGCTTAATATTTTATTTTTGTTGAAACAAAATCACCTTTTTCATATCCTAAATCTAAAATGAACAATCACCACATTTAATCCCCATAAACTCTATTTGGGGAATACCTTCAAAAATCATAATATTCAAGCTATATATTACAGAAAATTAGAAAAAACACATGAAATATTTGCGGTATTATGTATTTTTAATATTTCTGAATACACATAAACTATGGTTTTTCTAAACTAACGCATAAAATGAAAATAACTTGTAAAAAATTAAGACATAGCAATATTCAATGTATTTTTTTTTTTTTTATATAATTTATTACATAGTTTCTACAAATTACCACAAATGCCCTACCTACTGTTTGTTTAAAAATAAAATTTAATATTGACATTTACTATGTAGATCTTTTGACTTTTTACGTATATGCGTTTATAAGCGATGTTTACCAAGAAACTGAAATTAGCTCCATAATATCGTTATTTGCATGTAGAATCTATTGATTAATTTATATATCTAACAGAAAACACAGAAGCTTGTATACATGGATGGCTGTTCTGGCTTGTGAAACACGCGAAGGGTTTTGGCGTTATGAATACTATATGAATATAATATTATTTGATCGTCGAAAGTTTACCCGTTGTCACTGAATTGTTATAGTAAGGTAGCCACTACGAAAATCCCTTTTCGGTTAATACCACACGTTGACCCATATAACCAGGATTACGATTCGATGATATTATATATTAGTATTTTACCGAAATATAATTCTTAAACAATTCTCATTTTCGATTAAAAATAAATTTTCAAAATATCCATAACTAGCTATAACTCTACTAATATGTTGCTGAGAGTTTTAAAATAAAAAAATAAAATTCTACTAATTTAAATTTGTTTGTCTAAAACTAAATAATCTGCTCTGTTATATAACTAATAAGATAATCAATTACTAATACTAATATAAATAAATAATAAAATATGTTTAGAAGTAGAGATCATAACAGACCGTTTCTGTTTAAAATTGTATTTTGAATGCAAAACTTAATCATTCAAATCTAACACCTATCTATTATAATAACCTTTTCAATGACGAGGTACATTAGATAATATCATTAAACAATAAAGATGTTTATCCGATTTTTATCTTCTTTTTTTTTAATTATTTAAGTAAAGTACAATATCTTATTTGTATTTGAGAATTAAGGTTGTTAGTATATAACTTTTATATCATAATCTGCTAACCAATATGCTTCATGTATATTTGAAAAAGCGCCTGTTGATTAACTATTGAATAAATAAATACAGGTTGTATAGATTGAAACTTGTTTTTTGATATTAATTTAATACTCTGCAGATATTTTATTTTTAAAAAGTTTTCAATAGAAGTTACTCACTTTACTAAGATAACATTTTTAAATTATTTATTAATCTTCTAATTTTTTAATTAAAACAATTATAAATCTAAATATTTTCAGAATATGTGGTGTCTCAAAATTTGAGACTTGACATAATAATATTAAATCGGATTTAATCACATATTTTGATAAAAATGAAATTTGCAAAAATTAATATAATAAATCCACCCCCATAGCACAATAGTATAAAGGATATATTGATTTATATAATATATTGCCTATAGTGATGTTTTGTACAAATCATATGTACAATACCGATAACTATTGACTGACTAGTTCACATGGCTTACCATTGTGGTTAAAAAGTGAACCATTACACAAAATATTTAAAATTTAGGTACTAAATTCACCACATATTAATTCGAGGAATGACATGCATATTTATATTTAAAAAAACTGTTATAATTTGAATTCGGTACTATTTGCTAGTAATATTTTTCATTTAAATTGGTAAGTACTAATATAAATTTACTTTTTATATATTAAATAATGATAAAATCGATATTTTTAATATTTTAAATGGTGTAATCATGACTTCATTACTTTTATGCATATATCAATGTATATATAATATTACAGTAACGTAAATCATTTTATAATTTATAATATTATATTTACATAATACCTACGTAATTATAAATGAATAGTAAAAACTGCGATATAATAATAACCTCCATTATGATATTACAATACTAATAAAAATTAAACAAATAAATTGCTTTAAGTCTAAAATAATCTAAACCAAACAATCGATTTTCTTACTAAACTGCAAAACAAGAGAGTTGATCTTTCAATAAATTCAAAAAACCAATTGTAACAATTGTAATTGTTAACTTAACCAGTAACCAATGATGATGGATGTATTTATTCAATTATTTTCTCTCGATTATTTATTTTTCATAAATATTGCATGTCAAAACCAAACATTTCATATGAAATGCACGAATTTCTAGTATTGATATTTTATACATATTTATACAAATTCAAGAGAAAGTGAAAAAATAAATGTGACTAATAAATTATTATAAAATATGAAAAGTATTATTATATTTGTTAAATTTTAAAACACTACGAAAACATCTAAATGGCAATCTATCTGAGATGCTATAAGACATGTAGCATTCTCGTCAAAATTTTACTTGATTTTGATTAAAAATCCCAATTTTTATCGTGTTACCTATGCATTCATTTTGTTTTTGTAAGAAATATCAATAGTAAACCTAGCATGCTACTTGATATTTTTTTAATACATCATAAAAACGTTGAACCTTTAATATATAGATATGTTTTTTTTTTCAAGTATAGTTAAACAAAAATGTATTAATAATAAGTTACTACAATAAAATAATTATGTACGTATATTATGCATTGATTGCTTGGGGTTATCTTACAAATAATTAAATTAAAAAAAAATAAATAAAATATTCAAATTTTATAAAACTATTTTTATTTTGTTTTTATTTTTTGGTTGTCATAGGAAAAAAAAAAAATTGTAAACTGGTTGCTAGGGGCAAGTTAAAATTGTATACCAAAAAATCCATCACGATTACGAAAATAAAATTATATCTAGCCTAAAAATATTTCTAAGTTGTTGATTATTATTTTAAAAATTAAATTTAAATTATGTTAATATAATAATTTTTAATTATATGTAAAAAAAAAGATTAATTGAAATATTTATTTTTTAAAAGTTTAAGTTGTTTTTTCGTAAGAAGCTCTTACTGTTAAGTTTATATTTTATATTATATAAGAAGATTAATTATTAATGCTTGACAACACAATGTATTAAATGATAAAGACGTTTAAAAAACGATTAACTATTCAGATTTTTATACTGAAAGGAAAATATATTAATGGTTTAATTCAAAATCAAAACTAAAGTCTTTATGATAGTATGTAAGCTAAATACAATTAAGAATATTTTTATTATAACTAAGAACAGTACTCATATAAAATAAAGCAGGTTTTAATAAATAATCCACTATCATTATTTAGAAAAATAATAATAAATCAAAATTTGGTTTTTAAAAAGTTTAAAATGAATGCAATTGTGTATTATTTTTGTTTTTTTCATCGCTTTGATTTTTGATTAAACTACCTACAACTTTTAATTTCATAAAATCAATATCATATTTTCAATACTTATCCTACATTTTGAAATAAAATATTTTTTTTTTATATTTGTTGATAATCCGACTTATATAAGTACATTAAATACAGATAGTGTACTTTTTTTCTCATGTACCTATAAACATTAACACTTTAGATGATTCAATTAGTACACCACAAATTTTTCGTGTAATCTCTTAAAAAGTTACTTTACTTCTCTTATCTAAACTTCAAATGCTTATTAATAAATAACAATACAATATTTTTTAAATCTCTAACAATTATTTAACTTGCTATTTATATAATTATATATACTTGAATTGTAATACATCTCTTTATTTTTCTTTGATAATTTTAACTCTATGTTATAGTGAACATATTAATTGTTTATGGTGCTAGTATTAAGCTATCGAATCAATTGATAGTTCATACTAGAGTAAACTCGTGTAAATTTTATCAAACTTAAGTCAAGTTTTAATCTAATTATTATTTTCGAGATAAATAGTTTCAGGATGTATCTCTTCCATTATAAAAATAATTTTATCTTATAGCTTTTAGCTAAAAATATTGTCATAAATGTTTTATTTTTTTTTTTTTGCTCCTTGTAACCGGTTTTTATTATTTACACTAAAATAACTTTAAATATCTGTATTTTATTGCCGATGGGCATTAATAAATAAATAAATAAAATATTACTATCAGAATAATATAAATTAATTATATTATACTATTTATTATATGAATATATTATTAATCATAATGAGTCTCTATTTAAATAAATTATGAATAATTAAGTACAGTTATAAAAATGAATAATAATATTCTCTTTATTATCTTAGTATGATTCGAAACAATAATTTATATCATTTAGGTACTTACACAATGAAAATAATATTTATTTTTAATTTTTTTATAATTTTGAATGTTCAATAAAAAATTATTATAATTTTAATTTATAATACAAGTAATTTAAACAATTTAATTTCATACTTCTTAGAAATTATTTCGTTTTATAACACAAATGAAAAACATAATTTCTATGAAAAAACAAACATATTTTAACGAATAAATTAAATAGCAAGAAGCTTGATGGTTATCTGAAATATATTTATA